GTTCCTTGCAGAGGCTCAAGTGGTCTGGTCTGCCCAGAAAGCATTTGGGCTTCACCTCGGTCACCTCATAGGGTCATCGCAAGCAAGAATGGTGGCCCTGGAGGCGGCTGGCACCAGGGGATATGCACTTACAGCACTGGAGACTGCAAAGTCTGTGAAAATAAAGAAGTCGGACTCCTTTTGGTATGAACATTCCCATCAATTCATCGTGCTTTCATGCCCATGGAAAAAGTGCAATAATTTACTCCTGGAGCACCTTTGGAGCTTCTTCATCCTACCTCCTGAGGCAGAAAGACGTTACTCTGCAGCAGCCACTTTCAGTATGTTATAAAACAGATTCTGTGGCTCCCAAGCAGTGCCAAGTTTCTAGCTCCTCTCCTACTTTGCAAGGAAGAAGAAATAAACTCCTACCAGCCTCCCGTGAGGAAAGGATCCTCATTTCAAGCATCCGTAAGCAGGGCCAGTGGGGCAAGAGGGAGGACGAGGCAGCAGCAGGAGGCAGAAGTGCTGGAGCAGAGCCTTGCAGGCTGCAGCCCTGGAGAGCCCACGGCGCGGAGGGCACTCTGTTCTGGCAGCAGCTGGTTTCACAGAGATCGTGAGTTTAAGCACATATCTAATTGAATTGCAGATGTCTTTTCTGATGACTATCTGGTAGCAAAGCTTTGATTAAAGCAGCAGCAGAGAGGCAGAACAGGTTGGTTCTCAATAATAAAACTAATGGAAGGAAGAATGACCATTGACCACAGCCTCCACCGGGAGCATAATGCAGGCAGATACTTCAAACAAGATTTTTGGGGGAGATCTGAAAGCTCAGCACAGACACACAGCTTCCAGCTCCTAGAGATCCTGAATGTACATCGGTCTGGAAAGCAGCTGACGGCGATTTAAATAATCCACAAATAAGCTCATCTCCTTCCCTTCCCATACTCCCTGATGAACAACAGATCTGCTTTCCTCTCTGAAGGCCACAGAGGTTTGTTCTTCTTGACTTTGCTTCTTAAAGGCTGACAAATTTTATTCACTGCCCTTTTGTTACTTCCAAGATTGAGGTGGATTTGCCCTGAGCTTGCACTTGTCAGATCTCAACCTCTTATCATCTTACAGTGCCTTCAGAGCTCCAAAGAGGGAGAACTTTAACAGAACTCTCAATTCACCCAAACTAGAAGACTGTAAATCAGAGTTTTATGACCTTTTCTCTTTTTTTTTTTCTTCCTGTAGCCACTTTCTCATGACAACTTGAACTGCATCCAATATGTATTACCACATACACACCACTGAAAATCCACCCCCACCCAATGCAGCTGAAGAATCAAAGTTAAGCTTCAAGATGACCTAAGAACCTGGCTTAGCTCAAGAACAAGGTTTTTGAGAACTGTTCTCCTTTTCCTCAGCTGGCCATTACACTGTACCTAAACTCCCCTTGTGCCACATTTCGGGGCCTCTTGGCCACGTCCTACCTCTTACCTCTTGGCCCAGCACAACTCTCCTGGGGACAGCTCAATGAACAACCACCACGTAAGACTTAGTTTCAAAGAAAGTCAGTTTTGCTCATTTCACCTTTTGAACTGCTGCCCTTTTCCAATGTATTTACAATGTAAGGAAGTTAAGTTTATTCATGGTTTGGCTTTTAACGTCATTGTTGAGCTTGGCTTTGCTCCTGTTGGAAACTGGACCCTGATTCAGGAGGGCAGTTGCCAGTGCCTGCTGGAAACTCCTTGCCACGGGATTTTGAAACACGCTGTTTGTTGGCCTAGCTCAGCACGTATTAAATGCAGTCGGAAGAGTCTGCTTACTCATTGCAGGAAAAGGATCAGGCCAGTGGCAGGTGTTTTTCAGAGTATCCTCAACCAAGCATTTCAAATGCCTAAGCTCCTTCCAGACTTCCCAGGAGCTCCCTCCAGCAACCATCCTCCGTTTTGTTTTATACATTTGAAGCTACGCTGACCAGCACAGGTTGGAATTGGGCTAATTTCCAGCTCAGGCAAAGCCTCAGTCGAATTTGTAACTTGTTTCAGGTTCACCCCAGCAGAAAACTCTCCAGGAAGTTAAAAATGCATAATCCCCAAAAGAGAGGAGAAAAGCAAGAAATAACACAGCGTCTGTAAGATGTGAACTGTTAGTACTCAAGACGCTTAACGAGAGGTTTTACAAATGGCATATATTAAGCTAAACAAGTATGTCTTCAGCCAGTGAGCTCGAGTACTGCTATTTCACCCTACAAGGAATAAATAATAATTAAAATTCTTTGTATTGAGATAAATACATTCATTGTAGCTACAGAAATCAAGGGTGGTAATTCCCTAACAGCCTCGCTGGGTTCCTTCTCCAGTTGAAAGACAGGAAGCTGCCTCCCAGGCATTGATTTATTCCATAAGAATTAGGGAGAGGCATCTCTAAGGCACTGCATTTACTCTACCGCCGCTTGGACGTTTTTGGCTAGATGCTCTCCGGACGGTTTTCAGGCACGTTACTGAAGTACATTTCTCTTCCTCAAGTATTTAGTGAGCCCCTAGAATTTGGACAATCTGGACTTGCCTTATAATTACTTGCGAAAAATTATTGGTGAAAAAAAAAGCCATGAGAAGAAAAAAAAATAGCAACTTGGTCTTATCATATTGCTGTTAAAAAAAAAAGAGCAAGCGTGCAGCTAATTGTCAAGAAGTTAAATGACAAACAGCTTGAATACAGCCTGAAGAGTTACTGAATTGGAGATACATGGATAATAAAAAGCCTGACATATAAAAGACAGCTTACATTTAATTCTAACTGTGGATGAAAACCTGAGTGCCTCAGAGTTTGTACAAAGAAGAATTCTGGTGGAAAAAGACGACACTCTTGACTATTGACAGCGTTTGATTTAAAGAGCTCTGAAAAACGATTTGTTCTAGAACAAAAGCAAAAATCAAAACAATTCATTCCAGAAGTATTACAACACAACCAACTGAAACATCTATTCTTTGTTTGGGTCTCAAGTGCAATTTTAGTCAATTTGAATCTGTCTCATGGAGAGAGGCTGCAGTTTTGACAGAGCTATTGCTAAAATCATCTCAGCAACAAAACGTTGCTCTGCCTAACTTTAGCAATCAATAAACAGCTCCAAAAAAACAGCTCCAAAGTTTTAAAACTATTTGGTATCTAAAACTAGATCATCAGATTTGCCAACATTGAAGCATAGTGTACTAAAATTATCAGTGTATTACCTAACCAAAAACCTTTGGACTTCCAGATACTGCATTGAAGAACAGTTTAAAAAAAAAAAATAAATCTTGGATTTAGAATATGTTCAAGCTGTTCTTTAAACAAAGTAAAAGAAATAAATTCAGAGATCCATTTCTTTGAGAAAAAAAAATCTGTGTAAATGTTGGTCAGTGAAGCAGGTGAAAAAGCCGATCTGCGTGTCAAGATTGACTTTTTTTACATCATCAGTGTTATGGCCTGGAAGTGCTAAAGAGACATCCAGAATATAAAGGCAACTAGAGACAATTAAGCCATTTAAAAAGCACCAAAATTAGCATTCCTTTTGTTGAATCCAGATAATTCAAGTGCTGTTCTGCCACAAAGGCTATCATCAATTTCTAATTTTAGCTTAATCCATCAAAAAAAAAAAAAGTATCTCGCTTTCTCTCCGGCATTTCCTCATTAAGAACACTCTTAAATTATATACTGAAATCTCAAGAACACAAACTACGAATTAAAGTTCACACTCCCACAGAGACACGCTCATGCACACGCTTTGATATACTAATCCCAGTAAAGGTAATGCAACTACTTCTGCTGTGATACAGCTAAGCAGTGCCTGAACTGCTGCATGACAAGTATCCAGAAGCAGAAATTTAGCTATAAACCACACAAAAAGGTGATCTGTCCTGCCTTTGAACCCTCAGCCTTCTCATTCCCTCTGCTACACCTCACTATTCCCAAAAATATGAGTACTATAAAGAACGGTATCTCCTGATTTCCATTATACGAAGTAAGCAGTCATGCAAGACCATTTAAAAAACTTTGTCATTAACTCTTGCATTTTGAGTTAATGATTTGTATTTGAATTTTAGGACACCACTTTCACAGTCGAAGTACTGTCCTACTACTCCTCAAAAGGACTGACCATTTATCCCATTAATGGTGAACGCTGTAAGCATCCAAGACTCACATCCTTAACACCAGTAAACAGAATCCACTGCAAATTCCTTTACTCTCCCCGTTTCAGACTATCACACCATATCTAGTATTTCACCTAGAAATTTGCAGGTTTAGATTCAGTTATACTTTAATCATCATGACTGAAGAGGAAAAAAGTATTCTTCCAACAGAAGGGAAACAGTCTTCACACAGGACTGGAAATTCTTCTTAATGGTTTCACAAGGCAGAATTAATACAAGTTTACATGATTTCAACTCACAAAAAAAAGTTATGAAATAATTTCAGGGTAAAAGCTGTAGAGGTGAAAGTGAGAAATTCCTTGACATCAAGATTTCAGCCTGGTCTCATCACTAAAAGCTTTCAAGAGAAGGCAGGTGCTACAGCTGACCTGCTGGGGAAGCTGTAACACTCGCTGCCTTTGTCAACCTGAATTAAGGGCACAGGAGCTGCTGCCCACATGGCATGTCCCATGCCCAGGCAAGGGTGCGGTTTGCTGCTAGGGAAAAACTGTTGCACAAAATTTACACATTTATGGCAGAAGTCTGTGCTCCTGCTTATCTACTACTCCATGTATAGAAGGCACCCAACAATCCTGCCTGTACAGAACTGGACCAAAACAAGGGGCTTTGCTCTTAGTCAGGCCCCCTACCCCACCCTCCGTCTGACTTCATGCTCACTGCATTTTTTTAAGAAACTGTGGAAAGCAGGAGCTGTATTGTTAGCTGAAACTAAAGCTCTGAAGCCAACAGACAGGATCTCGCACCCAGACCTATGCTTCCTGACCTCACCGCTCACATAAAACTGCACTGCAACATGCTGAAGTGACTGCAGTTAACATTAGTACAATATACAAACAGTGATTTATCAACATTGTATGCTTTATTGAAAGTTGACAAGTGCAACAGTTAAATACATTGACGTGTTACAACTGTTTAGAGAACATGCACAAAAACATATGCATACTACTATACAGATCATATGCAAAAAATCCATACTGGGATATCCAATTTTTTTTTTTCTTTTTAAATTCTTTGCTAGCAGGGTTTGATAATTTTTGGAGTGGTTTTTCCTGTCTTGAACCAAACTACAATGAACAAAGATTTACTTCAAGATAATCAGCAGCCAGGGAACTTCAGAAGTTACACAAACAGCATAAATCTGCCAAATTCTGAACAGTTGCGTAGGTGCATTCTTATGTATGTAGCATTAAAAAAAAAACAACTTTCCAAACTTTTTCAGATCAGCCAATGAAACAACTAAACTTCAATCTGTACAACCTAAATAGTTACAGTTTTCTATTTTACAAAGTAATTACACTAAATACACAAATATACAGTAGGCAAATAACCTTCATTGTAATTATCCTATGACCCAACTGTACGTCACCTACCTGCTTTCTATATATAATACAGTTTTATGCACCTGTCCACTGCTTCAGAAAACGGTGCAAATATTTGCACTTAAGGTTTCAGGTGACAATTAAGTGTTAAACACTGAATTTACCTTCCTCCCTCTTCCTCTTAGATCCTATGCACCAGTCCTCACTTTGGAACCCCAGTGCACTATGGGGGATTGAGCCATCACTTTTTACTCCAGTCTATTTCTTCACATTTCCAAGCTCGAAAAGCACTTGTATCAGTTATATCACTGGATGAGTGGAAGATTTAAAAACAAACCAAAAACAAAATCAGGCATGCAGCTTCGTTTCTCAGCTGTTTGCAGAAGCTGCTCAAGTCTCCAGTGTACTTGTGCTAATTCCCTGGAAGAAGTTTATTTTATTCAATCAACTTAAGAACAAAGACTCCTTCAAGCCAAAGGGGAAGGGAGGGAAGAGAGAGACAGATGAGTGCGTAATACAGGGGGAGAAAAGCCTCTCCTGATGTGTGCAGAGCATGGAGTCCTCAGTCTGGGTTGCAATGTGCATTGAAATGGATGAAGGGTGGCTGTGGCGGATTCCCGCTAGTCCTTCTTGCTCTGGGCAGTCCAGAGGCCAGCGATCACGATGGCAACGACATCTTGAACTACGCTGAAGGCCCTGACCCCTGTGATGCCGGCTGAGCAGGCTGCTGTGTTGTCCCTTGTGACTGGGAAGAGGAAGGCGGGGAACCAGTCTGCAGCTGTGCCTGGAACTGGGCAAGCTGCTCCGGGCTGGCGAGTGTTTTTAGCAGCGTGTTTTCTTGCTCCAGCTGGGAGTTCTTCTCTATCAGCTCTTTGATTTGCTCTTTGAGAACCTCCACTTCCTCCCTTACCGCATACATCAAGTGACTCTTTACCAGATCCTGAAACGCAGAAGAGAGCCTGTGCGTTAGGAAACCAGCCCAGGGCCAGGCCCATGCTCCCACCCAGCTCAGCTAGAGAAGCAATTCTG